CGCGGTATGCTGACGTCAAACAATTTCGAGTTCTTCTTAAGCACAACTAAGCTCACTATCAACCGAATTCGCAGAAATGCAAGCCATGCGTATGTAGTTGGAAATCTTCACATAGTTAACAATGGTTGCCGCATTGTTACACACAGTTCTAATAATATGTTACAAATCGCTCAGGACAATAATGAAGCACGTGGGATCAAACGAAAAGAATAATTCAACCCGTTTTTATGGAAAAATGAATTTAAAATGATTTCTTCAAACAAATTCACAGGAATCAAAATAATGAACAAGTTTATATTTGATTACTGTCAAGCTATCTTGAAACGCATGAAACCTTCACACAAAACAACTTCTTCGAACCACACTGTTTATCGGTTTACAAATTCGTAAATATTATCAGATATTAGAAAGTATATAAAACATAATTTACGATAAAAGATTTTAAGGAAGAAGTTTGTCGAGATATATCTCAAGCGATCAAATGAAAGAAAGGAGGCAAAGGAAAAGAGCGCTGGGACGCGCGACGAGATCGTTACTCGCGGGGGAGAACTGTCACGCACAAAATGGCCATTCGCCGTTAACAGCTTGGCAGGCGAGCCTGGAGGCGGCGCTTTGCGTTCTTGCTCGTTGTCCGTCGACGAATATTGTAACAAAATGAATACGGTAGCTTCTCTGAATACGTGAAAATTGTTTTTCGCTGAATTTTCGCGTCCATATTTTTTGTTTCTTTCAAACCACAACACAACAGTTGAAAGCGACGAATCTGCCCCACTTCATCGTATTTCTCAGATTCTCCTAAAGATGGCGTGGTACGACCCGGTTTTTTAGCGGTTGTTTGTCAACAGAAACATTTTACGAGTTTGTGCACTACATTGAATCTTTGAAAATTATATTTTGCTTTTTAATATACTATATATATTATCATGAATCATTATTTTAAACATTAAAATATATAAGAAAAAGCAAAGTGTTTGACATATAATTTATAATATAAGTATTTCAGAATATTTTTTTTAATTTTATTCTATTATAATCAACATTTTTTTCAATTCAATTAATTTTAATCAATCAATTAAATTAACTAATTCAAGTTTTAAATTAATCAATAATTTCTATCAAGAAATATTTTTTTAAAAATAACAAGTTGTAATAACATTTAAAACGATTTAAAACCATTTAATTATATTGATGAAGTTAATAGGTTATAAAAGAACAATAAGAAACAATAAAAAATGAGATAAAAGATAAATTTCCATAATTATAAATAAAAAAGCAAATAAATACAAGAATACAGACAAAATGTACATGGAATGAGAGATGTACAAATATACTATACAAATAAATTATAATATATATAATATATATACTATAAAGTGAATCAATAACATGAAATAATATAAGTAAAATATGAAGATATTACAAATGCCATATATACATACATATGACTAAACACTTACTCCTCCTAAATCTTTAATCTTTGCTTCTATTTTAGCTGTAGTAGCATGATTTTTAATATCCAAATAAAATGATTTTCCTTCCAATGATTTCAATTCCTTCTGTGCATGAATGTCTGAAATCAAAGAAATTCCACAACATTTTTATTAATTTTATTATATTAAACTGTTATTAAAATGTATAATTTTAAAGAAATTTAGGTTCATGATGATTTACAAAAATATAGCATATTATAAAAAATAAAACAATTAAATAATAAAAATAAAAATTTAATGAAAATTTTAATGTCACATCATATAAAATAGATTTTTTTAATGATTGGCAAATATATTACATGTTGTACATAGATATTATTTATAAATTTAATCTAAATATTATGGAGTAATTATGTTGAAATATATTCAAACAATAGAAATAATTTTAAATAAATTCTTGTTCTATTATATTAATAAAATTAATAAATTTATAAAATTATTTCGATTATTACTTCGATACAAACATATATGTGCATAAATATTAGACATACGTGAATGTTTAAATGATTTATTTTCTCTTGATGGTTGTTTTTGCTCTTGATGTTGAATTTTGGATGGCGATACCATTCCTATGCTATGCACCACACAGAGAACGATAATATTTTCTTCTTACTGTACTTCAATATTTTTATAACACTTTCCATTCTCAAATATACACCACGTATTATTATAAATATTTCTTTGCGTATTTATCAATTATATTCACTTATTTAGAAAATCATAATTTCTCAACAAAAAATTATATCACAATTTTCATTTTAGAACAAGAAAATCCGCCTTTCAAACCGTTCTGAACATCGTATAAACTGAAGTTATATACTTTACGTAATTATTTGAAAAATATATCGAACGTATTTATAAGGATAGCCATTTAAAAAAAAATCCCTGGATTTTGTCTACGTAATAAAAATTAAAATGTAAATTAATTTTTTATTTTTATTGTACTAATTAAATATATAATTGTTAAATTATTTCAATAATTATTCAGTGTAATAATAATTAATGAATTACTTAATATTTTTATATTAAAATAAATTTTTTTTTTGTGATTTTTTACGTTTATAAATTTTCATAGAAATGAAATAAGATACGAATAGTTATATTGTTTAGCAAATTATGATAATAGTTTTATATGTCAGAAGTAAAGGTAAGTATGTAAGTATGAAGTATTATATATTTTAATGTATAAAATGTTAAATCAATCAATATTTATTTATAATATTCAAATTTTGATCTCATGATAAAATTTTTACTCTCACATTTTTTACTTGATATTGAAAATGAAAATTTAAATTATTATGAATACGATATGAACGATATTTTTTTTATAATATTTAATAATTTTAATGTTATTTTTATAAATTGATTATAGAATATAATTATTATTTTAAATGTTATACAATTTTTTAAATTTCGAATTTAAAAATTTAAAATTTTTTTAAATATTCGAATTATATTATATCTTTATTAATTATAGCTTCATATTTTTCTATATACATATTTATATATTTTAAATATATATATGTAATAAATTTTATATTCATATAAGTGCTATAATATATTGTATGAATAATTTTATGTATAATTTCATTATAATAACCTAAATATAATAATATTATGCAATTAATATTAATTAAAATTAGCAAATTAAAGATATTATTTTCCAATGATTATTATATCATTTTTGAAAAGAATTTATACCTTTTTTTTTATTTTTGAAAAGAAACAATAATAAAATTTATAACGAATTTCAATGATCTGAATGTATAATGAAAGATCGAATATAAACAGTTGAGAAACACTGAAGATTATAGTGACGATACGAGAAACACATTGAAAGACATTTGTCAGTCATCGTCGTGAAAGCGATTGTTGGCTAGGCGGATTGTTGTGATGATCTGCTTGATTAAACGTGAACAATGTTCAATCTTTTACGAAGTCTGGTTTTCGGAATATTCTTAGCCTTGCGAATACCAGCGTGTCTCACCCATGGTATGAAACTTTACCTGCGGTGGCCTTAGATTACAAAGTTCATATTGATGCCGGAAAAGAAGATTGTTACTTTCAATATGTTAATGCTGGAGCTACTTTCTATGTAAATTTTCAGGTATATAATTATTATTGACATATTTATTTTATTGAAAAATTTTTTTTTTATTTATTTGAATAAAAGACCAACATAACATATAAATATTGAAAATTATTAATATTTTTTGTATAATATATATAATCAATTAATTTATCTGATTATTTAATTATATAGTCATATTTGTAAAAATTTTCAAATGTTTAATATTAAAAAACTTTTTTTTAAATATTTATAAATGTAGGTAGTACGTGGTGGAGATGGAAAAGCTGGTTTTGCAGTAAGAAATCCAGATGGAATAATAGTTCATCCTTACCAATGGCTTCCTAATTCAGATTATCAAGATACTGTGAAAAATGCTGGTTATTACAGTATTTGTATAGATAATCAATTTTCCAGATTTGCTTCAAAATTAGTTAATTTATATATTACAGTGATTAGGTAATAAATACATATATACTTTAAAAAATATGATAATTGTTTAATGTAACTTTCAAGTCTAATTAATATATATATATATATATTTTTTTAATAAAGATACGATGAATGGGACAAATATACAAGAGAATTGGAAGAATTAAATCTTTCTGTGGAAAACTTCACGGTAAATATTTTGTTATTTTTATTAGAAAATATCAATATCAAAATCAAATCATAATGTCATATCATAATTTTAATTTTATAGTCTGCAATAACAAATGTGGAGAGAAATATTAATGAAATGCTCCAAACTCAACATTTGAGCAGAAGTAAAGAAGCCAGAGACTTAAATTTATTATTAGATAACAATTCTTATGTTCAAACATGGTCAATTGCACAAATAATAGTCATATTGGTAACAACAACAGTACAGGTATACTTTGTAAGAAAATTATTTGAAGTGAAACCATCTAGATATTCTAGAGCAGGTATATAAATATAATTGACGTATATGTATTACATAAAAATGAATATGCTCAATGAAGATACACTTTTTTTTATCATAGTGAATGAAAAATTTATCTAATTTCTCATTTAAAAATATAATATCTCTTTATCTAAGAGATTTGTTTATGTTAATATCGATTGCATTTTTAATATCAAGTAGCAATATTTTTTTTTCTTCTCAGAAAAAACTGAAAAGTCTGCCTTTCAAGACTGTATTATATCATATTTACATATTCCATTTTATATTATAATTATAAAAATATATGGTTATTTGTTTTATATTCTCAAGTTTTTAGTGAAAAAGTATAAATTATATTTATGAATCAATGAGATTATATATATTAAGAAACATTTATAGTATTTATATTAAAATAATAAAAAAGAATAGTTTTGTTACTGATGTGTTTACAGTTCTAATTGTCTAATCCTTACACTTGGAATTGTACATGCTACAATATTATATTATTTTGATGAGAAATGAAATGAAAACAATTATATTAATGTAGAATATCATGATATGTTGATTTATTAAAAATCATATAAATTAGTTATTGATAGTTGAATCATTCTTCATTTAATGAATGATTGATTGTTGTTTTGCTCTTTGTTGCAATATATTTCCATTTAATGTAAGAAATCGATGTCTCTGTTTAAGATTTTTTGCGCGAACGTGTTCTGATGCAACTTCTTTCGTATAGTTTCCAGGAAACCAGCCCTGTTCACCATTTAATAATTTTTCACCATGATACCATCCATCTGACATTTTTTTAAATACGTTTATAACATCCCCTAAAAACAATTTTTTGCGTTACAAATATATATATATATACACCTTTTCATAAAAGATATTATATACCTGGATGTAATGATAATTCGTCTGGTTGATTTGAAGAATAACAATATAAAGCTACTACTTGAGGACAATCCCACACCTCATAAAGTGTTTCTCCCGTTAATCCTCGTTTTGAAGGAAAAACTGCTTCCAACCATCTTTGTCTTTCTGTATCACTTTCGCACGTTAAAATGTATTCGATTTGATGCCCGGAATAATTTTCCAATAGAGTCAAATGCATCGCATTGCGACCAGCAAATGGCGAATCTTCAGAAATTGGTTCTAAAGCGATTAAACTTCTTTTACAAGTATCTATAATGCTATATGCTTCGTCATGAGTACTATGATACAAAAAAAGAAAAAAAACATATGTTATATAAATAATATTATATATTATAAAAAAAAAATACGATTATATAAAATGCTCATACTTGGACTTATATTTTGCGACTAGAAGAAAGTCTGTGAGCAATAATAAATAAAGAGGTGTTTTATTGAATTTCTTTCCAAATGTGAGTTTATATTCGGTATCAGCTTTCATCGATAATTGTACAACTGGTCCACTTTTAATCAAATGTTTTCCTTTTAATACAATCGGTTTAATTTTTGCGGAATATTCCAATCTTCTATTGGAACAAAATTGTTCATTTAATATACTAATATGTGTAAATAAAAAAAATTATGATAAAACATTTTTGAGATTATACCAATTGTAAATTGTAAACATTACTTTGCTAAATTTTCCATTTCAATCTCTTTTGCCGCGGCACGAGCGCCTTCATTGCATTCAGCAACAACGTAATTTAAACTCGATAAGACTTGTTCCCAATGAGATCTGTCATTATGTTCGACTGGTAATTTAGAAAGAATTGCATCGGCCAATAAAGGAAGTCTAAATGAAATATATATTTTTTTGTATTCATTCGTTATTCCATGTATAAAATTTGATCGTTTAAGCAGAATGTATTTTACCTCGTTATTCGTTGCATCGGTAACATTAAAAATGAATGTAAAGACAAGTTTTGACAAGTTGAACGAGCTTCTATTTGTGAAATTGTTTCTAAAAATTTTAAGCCTTTTCGCGTTCTAGAAAAATGAAATCACAATCATAAATTTCGAATTTGAAAGAAAAGCATTTTTCTACTTACTTTAAATCTCTGAGAGTTGTATCAATACCAACTTGATTAGAACAATATGTCACATAAATATCTAAACATCTATCGGCATATTTAAGCAATACATTCGGCAGATCATGCAACATATGATCGTGTCTCCATATAGTTTCCAGTTCAGCTAAAAATTGCTCTGATGCGTGCAACACGCTAGGAATATCGCCGAATATTTTATCTTTTTCAATCGAAGTTAAAATTTCATCGATTGAGGAATCGTCAAGAAACTCGTTTTTCAAAACGCGAAGAGAATTCAAGTAAGATGCTTCCGAAGTGAGAATTTCGAACTTTGCTTCTTGAATCTTCTTTTCCTTGGTAGTTAGTCGTTCTAATAAAAAGTAAAACGTTGTAACGATGGCTGGATTTTTGATAAAATATGAAAAAATGTGTAATTGTTTATAATAATGCAACATATCGTTTACCTAAAAGATCACTATTTAAAACTTGAGGTGTTTGACACCACAACGTTCTATGTCCCGGTTTTGCCAAATCCGTGGTAGATCTGGACGGGATTATACCCTCGACCTATGATTAATCGTTCAATGATTAATAAACTATAATATATAAAGTATCAAAATATTATGTGAATAATTCTGATTCTGTAACAATATTATATATATATATATATATATATATATATATATATACTC